GAGGCAGAAGACTCCCTTGAGCCCAGGAGTTGGAGGTTGCTGTGAGCTGTGATGCCATAGCACCTCACCCAGGGTGATAGCTTAAGGCTCTGTCTCCAAAAAAAAAAAAAAATTGAGTCAGGGCCTAAAGCTCGAGACCTGAGGAGCTGTGCATAATCTCAGATACTAGGTAGGCGGAGGCAGGAGACTCGCTTGAGCCCAGGAGTTGGAGGTTGCTGTGAGCTGTGATGCCATAGCACTCACCCAGGGTGATAGCTTGAGGCTCTGTCTCAAAAAAAAAAAAAAAATTCTATTTCTCGCTACAGCTTGAGACCTGAGGAGCTGTGCCTGATCTCAGAGCCTGTCTGTGCCCCTTAACTTAGATGAATCAATACTGTCCCTTGGAGTTTAAGGAAACAGATTTTCTATTATTTGAAACCAAATATTTTAGAATTTAAATTTATTAAAACTTAAAATTTTAAACCTATGTAACAACTTTATCCTTTAGAGAAACTGATAATAAAATATCCATAAATCTAAAAAAAATTTTTTTTGAGACACAGTCTCACTCTGTACCCTGGGTAGAGTGCTGTTGTGTCATAGCTCAGAGCAACCTCAAACTCTTGGGCTTGAGCAATCCTCTTGCATCAGCCTCCTGAGTAGCTGGGAATACAGGCACCCACCACAACTAGTTTTTTTTTGAGACAGAGCCTCAAGCTGTTGCTCTGGGTAGTGTGTCATGGCATTACACCTCACAGCAACCTCCAATTCCTGGGCTTAAGCAATTCTCTTGCCTCAGCCTCCCAGGCAGCTGGGACTACAGGTTGGCCCAGCTATTTTTTTTTTTTTTTTGGTTGTAGTTGTCATTGTTGTTTGGCAGGCCCGGGCTGGATTCAAACCCGCCAGCTCTAGCGCATGTGGCTGGCACTCTAGCTGCTTGAGGCCCATAACTACTTTTAGAGACAGACACCTGCTCTTGGCTCAGGCAGGTCTCCAACTCCTAAGCTCAAGTAATCCACACGCCTTGGCCTCCCAGAATGCTAGGATTACAGGAATGAGCCATATGCCTGGCCTTTTTTTCATCTTTTATTTCCAATCACAGAATGTTTCTGTTTCATGTTTCAAAACATCTCACATAATGAGGACAAATGATACTTCCCTTGAATCCTGGTACATAAACCCTAAAATAGAATATTACAGAGTATGTGTCCCCCATGTGCTGAAAACTTTTCCTCAAGCTTTTATACTGCAATGTCTTTAAACCTTTGGTATCCATTCTCACTAATAATTAGTAAGCAAATATGGACAGAAAAATTCAGAAAGAGCTGACAATAAGAGACCTGACAATTATTCTAGAAAAAGTGCTACATACTTCACTGTTCAATATCACTACAGTCACTTTCAGAGTACGCCCCTGGGAGTACGCCACTTTATGTTGTGGGTGGTTTATTTTGTTTTATTATTTTAAACACATCAATCTTATTCCTTTAGCATCATTACACGCATGGTCTACTATAAAACTATATGCCACTTACTTCTTTTTCTTTCTTCTTCTTCTTTTTTTTTTTTTTAAGACAGAGTCTCACTATGTCGCCCTCGGTACACATGTTATCACAGCTCAGAGCAACCTCAAACTCCTAGGATCAAGAGATTCTCTTGCCTCAGCCTCCAAAGTAGCTGGGACTATAGGCACCTGCCACAATGCCTGGCTTTTATTGTTATTGCAGTTGTCATTGTTTTCAGCAGGCCTGGGCGGGTTTGAACCTGCCAGTCTTGGTGTATGTGGCTAGCACCGTAACCACTGTGCTACAGGCGCTAAGCCTTAATTCTTTTTCTTATTAGAAATAGTTACATTGGCCAGGAGTGCATTGATCCTAGCACTCTGGGAAGCTGAGATGGGAAGATCACCTCAGCTCATGGGTTCAAGACCAGCCTCAGCCAGAGCGAGACCCCATCTCTGAAAGTAGCCAGCATTGTGGTGGATGCTGTAGTCCCAGCTACTTGGGAGGCTGAGGCAAGAGAATCACTTAAGCCCAAGAGTTTGAGGCTGCTATGAGCTATGATGCCATGGCACTCTACTGGGGGATGACAAAGTGAGACTCTGTCTCAAACAAAAATAATGTTAACTAAATAATGTTAACTTAATCTTTAGTAGGCTGTTAGCAGAGGTTTATAGTCAGCACATGTGCTAAGTGTTTTATCTATGTATCTTCATTTCTTCCGAGAACAACCTCATGAGACAGTTATTCATATTTCCCTGTTTTCACATACACTAGGACAGGGGAGGTGTGAAACAACTTCTTAAGACCAAGTAGTTAAAATGAGGGAGAACAGGGACTCAACTTAAACCCAGGTCTCATGCCAGAGTTCACTCTGTTACATCTCTGCTTTACCATACAAATATATGCACAGCTCAAGATCACCTCCAGAGAAGCAGTGAAGCTTCCCCCACCTGTGAGGCCCAGCTGGTGATGGCTGCTGGAATCTCTTTCTTGGTTTGAGGCTGTCTCTGCTGCAGGACACCAAGCTCCCAGTGGCGCAGAAGTGGGCACAGCAGGAATGGGTGACAGCTTCTCCCGCCAGTTTGGTCCATCCAGCTCCATTAAAATTCTTGTTATTCTAAAGAAAAAAAATAAGTTTTCCATATTGATCATGCAATTTGATTTCTGTATTACTGAAGCTCAGATCAAGAGTAAGATTTACAAATGCTATGCATATGTGTACTTCCTTGTAGAAACACACAATCTTGAGCTATTTTCTGTCCACATAATCTCAGTGTTTTCAAAAGCACTTTTAAAAGCTGCCATCAATGATGTAACTGAGAATATTTTTAGACAAAAGAAAAATTAAGACATTGTTAATTTGTTAAAAATGTTTAATGCATATACAAAAAAATTTTAATTTTTGAGAAAGTGAAATATAAAACTGAAATTTTGGAGGCTTAGAAGAAATAACCCCTAAAATATTTAATATAATTACTAAATTGATGATGTATTACTCTTGAGGATAATCAAAAGAACTTTGGGATTTCTGTGCCTAAACTATACACGAAAGTGGTTAAAAACAGGTGTTCAGGTGGCATCTGGAGCTCAGTGGTTAGGGTGCCAGCCACATACATCCAGGCTGGCAGGTTCGAACTTGGCCTGGGCCAGCTATAACAACAATGACAACTGCCACAAAGAAAAATAGCAGGGTATTGTGGCGGGCACCTGTAGTCCCAGGTACTTTGGAGGCTGATGCAAGTAAATCACTTAAGCCCAAGAGTTTGAAGTTGCTGTGAGCTGTGACGTCACAGCACTCTACCCAGGGCAACAGCTTAAGACTCTGTCTCAAAAAAAATTGCTGTTTAATACTGGCTGCTAAAACTGATGTCCTGGAATATTGCATTTTCTTAAGATATTTATATGTGGTTAAAATACTATTTCTTACCTTGTATTATTTTTTTACCCCCCAAATTATCCACTTATATTCTTTTCATAAGAATAAAGATGGAAAAAAATAGGACATTGGACTAGAGTCTACAAGGGTCTTTGTATTAATGACATTTACTAATGGCCACCATGAAATTCAGATTAACATCCTCAATGATCACGTTCTTGTTATTTTAAATATACAAAATATCATACTTAGATTTAAAAACAAAACCGAATTAATTCTTTGGATGAATCTGGTTTTAAAAGGTACTTCCCAAGACTGAGAAGGTTTACTGGTAATTAGTAGAACACACTGAAGTTAGTTAATTCCGTAGTCTCATATGCTTTTTGTATAAAAATTGTTTATATTTACATGTAGATAAATATAATACACATGCTCTCCCTACTGTTCCTTAAACTGAAATTTCAATAGTCATCTTTGGTTATGATAACTCAAGTTTTAGTGTTAAAAATAAATTGTTGTAAAATTAATGTGTAACCACCCACATTTGCAGAAGAAAAAGCAGCTTTAGTAAAAAGAATTCTCAAGCAAAACTTGTATTACCAGCAGAGAGGAAGGAAGAAGCAGCTGAAAAGAGATGATGTGTTGCCAGGGAGTAAATAAGCATGTGCAGAGAAATTTAACATGTAAGATTCCTGGAGAGGAAGAGAGGAATATGGTTAATGGAAGACAGAAACAAAATAAGCACAGATGTTTAAATTAAAAAAAAATTAATTTTCCATAATGAACTGGGATAGACGGAAAGCATACATATGGGATTTACAAAAAAGAATAGTGAAATTTTTTTAAATGGGTATTTTGTTTAAAACTATTTATGGCAAAACCAGATAGAGCCTCCTTATCGACAAAATAGCAACAAGAACCATTCAATTAAAAACTGAGTCTTAAAAGTCAATTGGTATAAAATAGGTTTCTGAGTACACACAAAAGTATAACACTAGAATCCTTAAAAAGTTAAACACAGAATTATTATTACCACAGGACCCAGCAATTCCACTCCTAAGTTTTCACCCAGAAGAAACGAAAACGGACTCAAACACAAACCAGTATACAACTATTCATAGCAGCACCACTCGCCATAGCCAACAGGTGGAAACAACCCACATGTCCGTCAACTAATGAATAGATAAACAAGGTGTGACATATACATACATACAATGGACTATTATTCAGCCAAAAAGAAATAAGTACTGACACATGCTACCCTGGATGAACCTTGAAAGCATTTAGGTAACTGAAAGAAGCCAGACAAAACAGGTCGCATATTGTACAATTCTATTTATGTGAAATATCCAGAACAGATAAACCACAGAGACAGCAAGCAGCCTAATGGTTGCCTGGGGCCAGGGGAAGAGAGAATGAAGAGTGAGTACTTAATAGGTATAGGGTTTCCTTTTGGGGTGCTGGAAATGTTTTGAAACGAGAAAGTAATGATTGCCCAGCATTGTGAGTACTAATGCCATGGTATTACGCACTTTAAAGTAGTTTAATTGGCTCGGCGCCTGTGGCTCAAGCGGCTAAGGAGCCAGCCACATACACCTAAGGTGGCAGGTTCATATCCAGCCCAGGCCCACCAAAAAAACAACAATGACAGCTGCAACCAAAAAACAGCCAGGCGTTGTGGCAGGCGCCTGTGGTCCCAGCTACTTGGGAGGCTGAGGCAGGAGACTCGCTTGAGTCCAGGAGTTGGAGGTTGCTGTGAGCTGTGATGCCACGGCATTCTACCCAGGGGGATAGCTTGAGGCTCTGTCTCAAAAATAAATAAATAAATAAAAATAAAGTAGCTTAGTTTTATGTGAAACCCACCTCAATTTTTTTTTTTAAGAGACAGAGTCTTACTTTATCACCCTCGGTAGAGTGCTATAGCATCATAGCTCACAGCAACCTCCAGCTCTTGGGCTTAGGCAATTCTCTTGCCTCAGCCTCCTGAGTAGCTGGGACTCTAGCTGGACTTTGGACCCCCCCCCCACCCTTGGCATATGGGGCTGGCGCCCTACTCACTGAGCCACAGGTGCCACTCTCAATTTTTAAAAAAAGTATAATGCAAAATGTTGAGATACGTGAGTCACCATGGCCTCTCAGACACAATTCTCCCTTTAAACCACTCAGCCCACTATTAATTACACTTCCTAAAATACCCTTTCATCGGTCCTCTCCTCTCTGCCAGATACTTCACATTTTTCAACTTTGTGTCTTGAGAGAACATCTACCCTTACAAGAAGATCCTATTTTCTCCAACCCCACTTTCAAAACTACCAGGCAGGGGATAGGGCAAATTAAAAGCCAAGCCCCAAAGCAGAGGACTGAACTGTGCTTTCTCTCGTGGAGAATGCACTCATCCAACACCCTTTTATTGAGGATGTCTGCTGTGTGAGGCACTGCAGCGACAAAGACAGGTAAAACACAATTTCTGACCTTAAGGAACACCCAACAGAGAGATACATGGTACACCAGACCGGCATGGGGACAGTGTGACACATAAACACTGCAGAAGTTATAATCTGGGCAAGGGGATCAGAATACATTATACGTATATAATAGCTATGCCATACAACTCCTTTTCAAACTTCATCTGAAGTCAACTTATGAAGTCTGGAAATTCTTACCTTCCCATTCTGACTCAAGGGGTAAATATGTCATAAAATAAATTAGATCCAAATTATAAATTAATACTCATCCTAGATGAGTGTCTATTTACAAGGGCATATAACACAAATATCTAGCATGAAGATGCTAGACATAGCATGAAGACATAGCATGAAGACGTCCGTTCTCCTGAGGAGAAACAACACAGATGTTTCCACTGACAGCTGTGGTGCCAATGAACATCTGCAAACCCTGTGGGGCGGGGAGATTCAACATGGCAGTTTTCACTACACTCTGCAATTGTCCTACAGTTCATACTGACTTAAGAATCAGTTCATACTGATTTCATCCATAATGAAAACCTTCCTATCACCACAGATACTTAAGCAGCACGCATGCGCTCTAACTCGTGTTACTAAGAGAAGAATATTCACTTAACAGTAATAAATGAACCAGGAAACAAATGTAAAGGCGCCAGAGGACAACTCTAAATGTATTAAGGGTTAGTTAGAAATGAAGTTAGAGAGAAAGAACCATTTGGTTTAATGGAATGAAAGAAGGCATTCATTCATGTAAAGTCAATAGCTGTGAACACATCTACACTCTGACATGTTCTTGAGAGAGGGAAAAGAAAAAATCTAATTTTATTATAAGACAGCCAGACTTTAGGTAGCTGCCCGCAGATTAGATCGATTACCTGTTAATACTGTCATTTGCTAGCTGGACTCCACAGTCTATCAGCAACACTGTTTTATAATCCACGTAAGCTTTCCCATACTGCTCCAAAGTCTCATAGGCCATTGCTCGTCGCAAAAGAGGTTTCATTGAGAATGGATGAAGTTCCAGAGCCCTAAAGAAGACAAAAATATTACATATTATTTGTTTTGAAAACTACTCTTTAATTGATACTTAACTGACTACACACTGCAGTACTGGACTCACAAATATCTCTCTCTCTCTCTCTCTCTCTATATATATATATCTATTTATCTCTCTCTCTCTCTCTCTATATATATATATCTGATATTTCATTTTGGGCACCTGGCAAAATACCAGAGAGGCAAACCTGGAGCAGCAGAGTTATCAAGTTGTGGCCACTCTCTTTTAAACTGGTATCAAAGCACCCTGGCATTTAATCTTCCCCACTGAGGTGTGAGCTCCCTGGCAACATGCCTCAGCCTATTCAGTGTCCTGAAAGAGCCCAGCAGGGCACCAGGCACAGAGCAAGGCTGTAACACATTCTTATTATTGACAGATTACAAAAAAATTGGGGGGACCAGGCATGGTGGCTCACGCCTGTAATCCTAGCACTCTGGGAGGCTGAGGCAGGTGGATTGCCTGCGCTTACAGATTCGAGACCAGCCTGAGCAAGAGCAAGACCCTGTCTCTAAAAAATAGCCAGGCATTGTGGTGGGGCACCTGTAGTCCCAGCTACTTGGGAGGCTGAGGCAAGAGAGTCACTTGAGCCCAAGAGTCTGAGATTGCTGTGAGCTATGAAGCCACCACATTCTACCAAGGGAGAATGAGACTCTGTCTCAAAAAAATTTTTTTTCTTTGGCAGGCAGTAGAGGCTCACACCTGTAATCCTAGCACTTTGGGAGGCCGTAGTGGAATGATTGCTTGAACCCAGGAGTTTGAGATCAGCTTGTGCAATAATGAGACCTTGTCTCTACAAAAAATAAAAAAAATTAGCTGGGCATGGTGGTATGTGCCTATACTTCTAGCTACTCAGGAAGCTGAGGTAGGAGGATAGTTTAGCCCAGGAGTTGGAGGCTGTAGTGAGCTATGTTAATGTCACTGAACTCCAGCTCAGGCAACAAAGCAAGATCCTGTCTCAAAAAAAAAAAAAAAATTCTTATTTGCACATATGCATTTAGTAAGGCACCTTAGTATAGAACCACAAAAACTTGCATTAAATTTTGAAAATCAGCACTCTAAAAATTACTAGAGTTCATTAGGAATTACTTGCTGCAAAAGGGTTCAAAAACAGACCAGAAGGCAATCAAGGAACTAAACCTACAATGCTTTCTTATAAGTCATCAATTTCATCTTGTGCTTTTTAATCTATAAAATGTTTCCAATATCATCAAAGAGGTATTGCAAGGTCATGTTCTTTGGTTTTGTTTGACGTAATGTTTAAAGCAACTTCAGTATTTAATATACTTTTTTATATTCTGAAAAAAAAACTGTACAGATGCTCTTCAACTTACAATGTGGTTATCTCCTGATAAAGCCATCATAAATGGAAGAATAATATATGTCAAAAAGGTATCCTACATAGAGTCTTTGGTCAAAGAACCACCAGAGCTTAAAGACTGAAACCCAGGGTTGTGTATCACTTTTACACCATCGTAAAGTCAAAAAAACATTAAGTTGGGAACCATGTGTATTTACGATGGAAAACTATAGTGATGTTGGTTTTAATAAAATCACCTGAGGCTGTAAAGAAGTCTTCCATGCAGAATTCTATGAAGAAACTACTGCCTACATAATCTACTAACTGATATTTGCCCTAAACTGTCTACATTGGAGAATACAGGTTTGTTATTTTTGTTAACTCATGATATGTTTATCAAATATTTAATTTGACTCAGGGAAAGTGGGAGTGAGAGGTGCTTTGCTTGGTTTGGTTTTTCCCAATAGTCCTGGATATCTGTCTATTCCTATCTACAAGTATGTGGTAAGGAGGAAGCACTAATAGAGCAAGTCTGCTACGTGCTAGTCACCGTAGGCTTTCTCACCTAATCTTGCAGCACACCTATAAGGGTAATATATATTCATTACACAGGTGAGGAAACTGAGAGACACTGGGGGCGATACACCCTCAATGTCGGTTCTCTTGAATGTGATTGTCACAAAGGCAAGTGTGTCATCTGTCCTGAGCACCATTCCCAGTCCCGGATCAACACCCAGGCCATGAACCCTCAGAGCCTACCTTCTTTCCTACCACAAACACACCAAAACATCACAAATGAAGGAACTCAGAGTCATCTGCCACGCAGACTCTCCCACAATTCTCCACATCATATAGATGCTCAACCGTACTCACAGGAGCCCTTCTGGACTCTGTACCATAAAAGTTTAAAATGCTATTAAACCCATCACTTCTCAGCCTTTTGCTAAAATCAAGAATAAAAATGCTGTTAACCCTAATTAGCTTCATTTCTCTGAAAAATAACTGTCCTTTTTATATTTAAATAATTTTGCTCTGCCTCAGTGTTAGGACTATAAGTGATTGAAATTATATTCTTTGTGCTATGCTGATTCTTGAAAGTTTTCTATAATAGGTGTTACTGTTGTTATTAATAAAAGTTATTTAAAAAATAAACTTAAGATCAAGTAAACATATTCAAATGCTATCCCCAAATAGATCTTTGGGCTTAGTCCCCTGTACCACTGCCTTAAGTCTAGCTTAATTTAATGCTTAGGGGACATTAACTCCATTGCAGAGATCATAAATGTGTCCCTCTGGCAACCACATTCCTCCCTTCACCTCACCGGGGACTCCTAATACCTAAGGTACCAACTATGCAATCAAGATGGCCCCAAGCCAAGCTTGGGATCTAAAACTACTGAGATGATGCATTTAATTTTTAGCACTTTCTACCCTAGTAAATGCAAGGTTTTCTTTTTCTTTCTTTAACCACAGTCCTGAAAATGCATATGAGCTTTTGAATAGAAATTCCATCAAGGAATAAATAACCCATCCATAAAAACAAACAGAACTTTTAAACTAAAGCTTACAAAAGATGCTGTCTATTCAAGTTAAAGCAGGTAAGACCCTAAAGAATTTTCTAATTTCAAGTGTCTGTCAGAAAGTAGCAAAAATAAGCAAAAAAAAAAAAGAATTACAGGCGGTGCCTGTGGCTCAAGGAGTAGAGCGCCAGCCCCATATACCTGAGGTGGTGGTTTCAAACCCAGCCTCGGCCAAAAACTGCAAAAAAAAAAAAAAGAATTACTAGGGTAACATTCATATTTGTATTTTGTCTGTCAAAATGTCCTCAATGGAAAGTCACCCAAGGATTTTTCTGACAGATGGGAAAACTAAAGGTTTTTGCTAGCTGGTAAACAACTATAAGAATAAAAAATAATTTCCAGAATAATGATTTTCACACTTTTGCTCATGTTTCACTGATAGGCCTAAAGAGAGCTATGCAGATACTATGGTGAGGACAGTGGAAGGGCCTAGCACCCCCTCCCCAATTGCCTCAAAAGTCCCCTAATCACCTAAGGGCCACTCTCCAAACACACCCTGGGAAACATCAACAGTCTTCAGAGGCTGGTTAGATATTTAAAATCAGATGGTAGTTTTCCTCCAAAATGCAAAAAAAGGCTCGGCACCTGTGGTTCAAGTGGCTAAGGTGCCAGCCACATACACCTAAGGTGGCGGGTTCGAATCCAGCCTGGGCCCGCCAAAACAACAATGACGGCTGCAATAAAAAATAAAATAAAATAAAAAAAGCCGGGCGTTGTGGCAGGCGCCTGTGGTCCCAGCTACTTGGGAGGCTGAGGCAGGTGACTCACTTGAGCCCAGGAGTTGGAGGTTGCTGTGAGCTGTGATGCCACAGCACTCTACCCAGGGGGACAGCTTGAGGCTCTGTCTAAAAAAAAAAAAAGCAAAAAAACCCCCTCATATAGGTAAAATAAAGTTTCTTCACCCCTTTCATTTATTTTGAATCTTGCCTCCATGAGTTTTTCTTTCTTCTTCTTTTTTTTTTTTTTGCAGTTTTTGGTGGGGGCTGGGTTTGAACCCACCACCTCCGGCATATGGGGCCAGCACCCTACTCCTTTCAGCTACAGGGACCACCAGAGTTTTTCTTTTTTAACCTTTAACTATTGATACTACTTGTTTAGTAACAAGAGCTCACTCATGAAACTTTCCAAAGAGGGCGGCACCTGTGGCTCATAGGAGTAGGGTGCCAGCCCTCATATACTGGAGGTGGCAGGTTCAAATCCAGCCCCGGTCAAAAACTGCCAAAAAAAAAGAAACTTTCCAAACAGCAAAGTTAACTGAACAACTAAAAAATAAGGCTTCTTTAACATGTATGCAACCTTTGTGAGATGAAAGAGAAAGCACAGTAGTATTCTCTGGTAATACATTATTCCTAGTTCATACAGATGTAAATACATCCGGATTTTAACAGGTACACAAAAGCACAGTATGGCTTCTCTGGCTTTAAAATAAGTTTGAGAATCACTGCTTTAGAGTAAAACCACCCTCTACTGGGCATTATCTCCATGCTCTGTCTGGACTCACAGGCCAGCTATCAAAGAAAACATCTAAGTAGGTCAATCTCTATGGAGGTCAGCACTGACCTGCAGAGCCAGATTCCTTGGCCTAAAACACAGCTCTTATCTAGGGACAAGCTACCCAAATTGACACCCACCTCCCTCACTGACAGGGTATCTCCTGTTCTTCCCCAGGACAAGCCCCCATTTTGGCCTCCCGGGATACCATGGCTGGAGTCTTATCCTTGACTTCCTCCCAATTTTAGCCAGGAAATATCTGCCTCCTCTCACATAAGGACAAAGTGAATCTACTGTTTTGCAGCAGCCCTACCTGTAGGGTTCCCAAGTTTTAACTCCACTCTGTAGGAAGGCCTCAGACAAGTCTGAAGGTAAGCACTAGAAACGGACACTCGGCCAAAAGGGTATTGGCTGCAAATTACCACAGGCCTAGAATCCAACAATTCACATGGCCTGCTCAGTTTGTTATGAGCAGTGGTAAATGTGTATAAGAATTCTCTGGGAAAATAAAAGAAAAAAGCCCAGATTTGTGGTATTTGCTAGTTTACAGGTATTAAAAGGTATCCTACTATGGCAGATTTTAAGCTATCAACTTGACATCAACCGGAATCCAGAAAATGTTAACAATTAGCTAGTGTGAGCCAGCATAACCATGAACAGGATCTAAAGTCAGGCCAAAGAGAAAATCAATATTTATTTTAAATCTGAATATGTAAAACTGGCAAAGAGATCCAAATACTTCAAGGCCTTCAAGACCTAAACTGTAGGCACACATACTAGCAAGCTTTATGCAGATCAATAAAGCTTGATACTGCCAATAAAAAAAATAATAAACTGCTCACCTTATAAACAATGTCCATATAATATACTATCCAAACTAGGGGATAATGTTCATAATTATATGAGACAAGAGGAGTAAACCTGGATTGTGTCAGTCAAACCAGGACACAACTTCTAATTTCTTAGATGGACTAACAGTAGCTTCTTGACAAAGGGCTTCTGAAGCAGGCTTATTACTTATGGTAAAATAAAACTATGTTTTATTTATACAAATATATTTATCCATTCGGGCAGGTAATTTATTGAGTATCATGGGTGACTACTGTGCTTCCAGGAATAGAAAGTGGTATAGGACATGGTTTCTATAGTTAACAATATATAGTTTCAAATATCTGAAAGACAGATACTGAATGTTCCCAACACAAATAAATGGTAAATATCTGAGATAATAGATGTGCTAATTACCCTGATGTAGTCACTAAATATTACATATGTCAAAACACCATTACGCATCCCATAAACATGTTCAATTATTATATGTCAATTAAGAAAGAGAAAAGAAAACAAATACATGGTTGCTGACCTCAAGGAGTTTAAATCCACTGCAGTGGATAACACAGGACCTACAGATGTGACCAACTGTTGGTGCAGGTATTAAAGACCTGAGATAAGCAGGAAGGCTGGGGCGCTCAGGAAGCAGAGAGGAGGGGCAGCTGAGCAGGGATTTCAGAAACCAAGACGTGCAGGGGACATTACTGACACTGGGGATAAAGGCTCAGAGAACAAGGTGAGTGTAAGGAAGTGGAACAAATGGGAGCAGAGACTTGTTGAGGGTGGGGGACAACCTAGTGACACAGAAGTTCACAATTATCTGGAAGACAGTACTGAGCTATTAAAGGCCTGTCTGAAAAAAATCTGAGCAAAATAATGCTTCAGGAAACATTATCCTGATGCCACAGTGGATTGGTACGAGTGATCAGTCTTCTCTGGAGTCTGGGAGTGATATGAAAGGAATATGAATTAGGGTGGTTAGCAGTGGAAATGAAAAAGCTTGCACAATCTTCTGAGACTGTCTTCATATGTGTGAGAGAGACAAATTTATTATTTTCATGAATTAATTAACATATAAAACTATCTTAAGAAATGCAGAAAATTTAGGATACTGAATATTGCATTCATCACAATGGCATTAGAACAGTCCTTTGACAAACCTGAAAACGTGCAGTTTACCTGTTACAATCTTGAATGCAGCCACTGCAGTTTCCTTCTTTTAGGTAACATGCTGCTCTATTTGAATATAAGATACTTAGATCATCAGCACTTTCACTTCCTAAAATCACATTTAATTAAATACAGTTAAAATCCATTAGCAAGCCCGCAGTTCACCAGAATTGCAAGACCGCGGTCTCCGGTGGCACTGCAGTCCTGCAGACTGCAGATCATGCAGAGCTCCGGGGAGCTGTCTGTCCCCGCAATGGCCACAGGGGGAAGCCGGTCGGGGACTGATGCAAACGCGCCCGGCCCGGTACATGCCCCGCATTCCAAGGTATTATTCGCGAGGTCAAGACGCCCTGCGCCCTCAGTCACCAGGAAGGAATGCACGGAGGCACTGCTGTCACCCGGGAGACGGCCTGCCCCTCTCTGCCCCCCGCCCCCCGGTACGGAGACCCGCCGCAGCTCACGGGGCCTGGGGACGTCGCGGGGCGCGGCTCACCTACCTGCGGGCTCCAGCTGCGCGATGGCCGCCGAGTACTTGCCGGCCGCCTCGGCGAACTGCCCGCTTTTGAACAGCTCGTTGCCCTGGCTCTTCAG